CATGGCGAACAATTTGAGAGTATCCCCATCAAAATCGGATAGAAAATGGAATTTATACAATTATTTTTTCGCTTGATTACACGAGTAGTCATTGTCGCGTAACCGTAATAAAATTAGATGACGACCAAGATCGCCACTAATGCAGGAAAGTGTTAAACACTTGTTGCGGTAGGTATCCCTCAGTCTGCAAACTCTTTAAATTCTTCAATAAATCGTTCAGCGGCTGGTTTGTCTGAGCTGGCTGCCTTCCCATGCCTCGCAACACTATGGATACCACTTCTTTTTCTAAATTTTTCAAACCAGCCCCTGCTTGTCTTAAACTCTTTCGTATCTGCATCACTCGTTCCAGGGGTTTTCTTTACAAGGTCTTCGTGCAATACCCTGGCTTTCTCACAAATGATGGCCTCCGAAACACTATCACCCCTTAATTCCTTGTCATGTATCCAAATTAATAACAACTTTTCCACTTCAAGTAATTGTGGTCTTTGTTTCGTCATTGTTCTTACTCCTTTTGCCACTTGAGCACTCATAATCTCATTTTTCTTTTTAAAAATGTTGCAAATTGTTGACGTGGCTTTGTTGTACTGCCTACAAAGTTCAATAACACTTGTACCATTTTCATGCTTCCGAATGATCTCTTGTTTCTCCTCTATTGTCATCCTCACATGGGCTTTCTTGCCTTGATTCTTACCACTGGCTTTCTTGGGACCCATGGTGAGATATATAATAACAACTTTTATAGCCAAAAGACCAAAAAACCAACAAAACACTGAAAATCCGCGTGAAGAATTGACGTGGGATAGTCACTGGGCACAAGGCACTGGTTAACTGAGGGGCGGAGGGGCGACGATCGCCGTACCAATACGCGCTAGGACGGCCTGTACGCGTATCAACAAACTTGTGTTCCGAGATAACCCTCGCCGTCCGAGGCACCTTTTCCGAGGAAATCCGGCTCGTATTCTGAAAAACTCGTATACAGGGACACTCGTATTCCGAGGTACCACTGTGTGTGTGTGTGTGTGTGTGTGTGTGTGTGTGTGTATATATATATATATATATATATATATATATATATATATATATATATATATATATATATATATATATATATATATATATTATTTATTTATTTTACATGTTCAGGGAAGGAATTTTAACCATTTACAAAGAAAACAATTTTTAGGGGAACTTAAAATTTCAGTTTCTTAAATTTTTATTATGTCACAATAAAAGCCATGTAGTATGAAGGCAAATTCAACACTGGTTATGATGCATACCCTCAATGAAACCCTGGTTGTGACGTGCAGTTTAAACATTAAGAGTCTATCTCATCAAACCTTTGAAGAACTTAATTGAATTATTTTAATTTATGCCAAAAGTGATTTTCATGTTAATGGCCTATGAAATATAAATATTCTGTAGCAATTATTAACCCCTTAACTGTGTTGCCTCCAAATGTGACACCCCCGCAGTGCGCAGGAAATAAATTATCTGGAAAAAATTCTTTTTTTCTTTTTAACACTTTCGCGCTCTCGGCGCTCAAAAAAAATCAATACCCCAGATGCTTTCGGCACTTCGCGCGCCTACGCGGTAAGACCGAAAAAGTGTACACTCTTTTGACTGTCCTGACAATAATTGAAGGCGCACGTATTTAAATTTGGTATCACTGTGTTCGCAATGAAATTGTCTATAAGAGCATACCTATAAAATGCCGCCCAACCATAAGGAGTATCAACACCAAATAAAAAACTATGCAGATCACTCGCCGAGAGCGCCAAACAGCAACAAAATGTTTCCACTCTCTTAATGGTTGCAAAGCCTACAGTTGTCCTACATCGCTAATTTTGGTATCATTGGAATCGCAATAAAATTCTCTACACGGACATATGCATATGAATGTTTAATATAGGTAATTGCCCACTTGCAAGAGTGTGTGAAGTGGAGAGTAGTTAGCCGCGAGCGCACTGGCGAAAACACAGGGGGGAAATCATGCTTGGAAAGTTTATACATTTATACGTTTCCTGACCCTACTTTTCTATGTACGTATTTCTTTTTTATACCAATGTGTTCGCAATAAAATTTTCTATAAGATGAAATGTATAACATTTGTACAAAGCATGTGTAAGAGAAGCACCAAATATAGAACCACGTCGCTCAGTATGCGTTCGCGGCAGAAACGAACGCATTGTTTTCGTTCTTGATGTTTGTCATGTTTATACTTGTTGAAACATTTTATAATTTGTATGACAGTGATCGCAGTAAAATTCCCTACACAGACATATACATAACACATACAAATATTTCCCACGTGTCGGATATATCAACGGCTAAAGGGAACCCACTACCATACAGCCGCCACACCCAGAGCCACACCCGCCACACCCCCAAACATACTTTGTGTTTTTTTTTTTATATCACATAAACTCATAGAAGTTTATGTGATATAATATTCATTCTGGTACCAAACAATTCGCAAATAAATTCTCTACAAAACGTATATAATATAACTTCTTATAGATGATAAAAAATTCCAAATAGGTGTGCTTACCCTGTCTATGTTGATTGAAGATCAACAGTTGAGCATTTTTTCTTCACTCCACCATCTTCAGGCTTCTGATCCTGAAGTTGCTCATCTGATGTTTCTTAGGTAGAGTGAAGCTGTTGCCGGTGGTTATTTTTTCTCCACCCAAAATATCTTTCTTCGGTGGTACCTTGTGTAGCAAGGCGCAGCGCACAGTGCCACATCACAAGTTTTACATCCATATATCACGTCCCTCCTTTTGCCAGACTTGAAACAAACACGGCATCTTCTTTTTTTTAGCCAAGTGCACGAGTTCATGCGTCAACTTGTAGTTGAGACGTTGTTCTGAATCTATAATTCTTGTATTTCTTGGATGCACTGGAGGAATATTGCCTTCTACAGGAACCACCAAACTTGTAGTAGAATCTTCTATGAAATCAGAAACATCAAGTGGTTCTATGTCCTCAATGTCCATTTCAGAATTTGTGGTTGATGAGTGGGCTTGAGGTGTTGAGGTGAACAGAGGACGCCTCGCACCAGATGGCCCGGGTGTTGAAACTGCCGCGTCAGCAGGAGGAGCTGCGCTGGCATCTATGTCGGGAACATGTGGTATGCTTGTTGTTGTTGGCCATTCCTCGCTGTTCCACGCCAATAAGGCTGAGTCACAAGGCTAAGGCCAATCTGAGAGTATCCCCATCCATTTCGGTTAAAAAATGGAATTTATAGAAATATTTTTTCGATGGACGAGAAAAGTAGTCTGTTATGCGGAATCGTAAGAAAAAACAGTGACGAGTTATCTCTAATCTAAAGCGCGAAAGTGTTAAAGTGTCAAAAACCCTTCCCTCAGTATGGGTATGTAAAAAAAAAGTCGAAATTGTACTTACTTTGGCTGCTATGGGGTCCGGAAGTTGGGGCGTGACATCATCATTCCCCGTGCGCCCGTGCCGTAAGCTCTAGGGGGCGGTGGGGCGCTCGGGGCTGGGCGCGCGAGTTGCCGCGAATATATTTTCGTTCATTTTTTGCGCACCTTTCCAAATACATTTTCATTGTTTTTATGTGCCAATCAATGTATAATGAACACGTACACTATAATATCGCAGTACAACATCCGTACTGTCCGTAGACACTGTGTTACGTGCATGAAACTTGTGTACACATATGCAGCACATATTTACTATGTATCATGCTAATTTGTGTATATATACAATCTATTTACCCACTATACACTGTCACACACTATATACATTAACCATCAACACATTCAGAACACCGCGTAGCAGCTGCTTCGTATGGGCCAACAGGAGCATTTGGCCATGAACACATTCAGAACACCTCGAGTGAGAGCAGCCACACCCAGCCTGTCTCCCTCACTCCAACATCTTACTCGCCAAAATTGCTCCTCCCACCATACTGTTATAGTTCTTATTACACATGTTCTATATACCTATCTACATGTTTTATTTACCAGAACTATGTAAGTAAGCCGGTATTGTGTCCAAACAGTACAGTGGCCACCATACACTGCATGAAAAATCATACAGCAGACGACGCTACGATTATGTCACCTCCCTCACCAAAATAGCTCCTCTCAACATGCTCCTGTTGCTGTTCTTACACTATATACACACACTATATATACCCATGTACATATGTGTTGCCCATAGCGAACCACTAAGCTAGTATGGTGAGCAAAACAAGAGTGGCAGCCACACACACAATGAGGCTACCTCAATTCTCGCCCTCCCTCCCTCATCAAAATTCCTCCTTCCACAATACTACGCACAATGCTAATTATAACCACATTCCTGCTATTATCACAATCCTGGTCACTAATTCCTGTAAATGAATAATTGACCACACGTTTATTTTGAAAAGGAACCTAAGAAATCATTTGAAGATTCCTAGATGAACGAAATAATGCTGTGGTGCTGTGGCTAGCGCTGTGAACATCGTGAACAGCATTGAATCACTGATATTTGAACATTGTACCCAGTCATTATCACACTCAGGCTCTAATATAACACTATCATAGCTAAATAATACAAGTTATATATATATTTTGACATTATTAGGCGATGCTGTGGTCACATGCTGAACAGCAGTGCTGTGCGCTCATGCTGCGAGCGCCAGCCTTGGTTGCTCACACACTACTGAGGCTCCCACACCCGGGAATGTGGACCACGATTTTTTTTTAAGATGGCGTCTGTTTACAAGAGCCCTGAGGAAGCTGATGTGAACCCCATGTAGCCGCGGGAGTTTTGAATGGAACGTGAAAAATACAAACACCCGGAGGCGCGTTGCGCAAACCAGACGTGAGCCTGCAGGCGCGTTGCGCAGTTTAAGGGTTAAACCACTGATTCACATTCATATGTATATTTTTTAAATAAAAAATATTTGTGTTATTATTATCTGATCATTGCTCAAAGAAGGGGGTATGAATATTGTAGAAAATGGAGGTTATATGATAAAAATACATTAGTGTTCATAAAAAATGTGCAGATATCTGCTATTTTACTAATAATCTTGATTATACTGTACATTCACAGAACCTGATTTAATACATTTGGAAAATGTTAAGGTCATCAAGTTTCAATCCATATACAATTCACATCCCTACATTGTTAACATTAATTATTTATTGTCTTCAGAACTTCCTGAGTTTCATATGAAGATTCTTTTCTTTCATGGCCATGTGTCTTAACCTCTTCCAGTAGGCTTTGGTATTGGGATCCAGCTCTTCCAATGGTGGTGGCTTACCTGCAGAAAACATCACAAGTGTTAGTGCTAAACTTCATATCGATATATACATTGTGTAAGGAAAAAGGATGACCTTTGGAGACAGTAATAGCCTCTCAAGACAGTAGGTCTCAAAGTTCATGATGGAGTAAACAAGAACATTTTTTCCATAACTTTCTCATAGAAGAGAATGGAAGATTGATATGTTTTTATATACTAATAGTACTACTTTCATGAGACAGGAAGACTCTTCTACTCTTCTCAGCTTCTCTTCTACTATTTGATCAAAGTACAGTATCTACAACACAGTCCCACATTTCCCGCAATAGAAGTGTGGGTATATTTGAGTGTAGCCAAATTCATCAATACAAAGGGCTGGCTCAGCCTCAGCTTTATGACCCACACCAACCTGGTCCCTAATAAGCACACACACACTGGCGTGTAATATAAGCAAGTGACAATTCCTAACTGCAGAATCTTCTTTCATAACACTATTCCTATAGATAATTTTTTGCCAACAACTTATCTTGGGTAAAATCAGCAATCAACTTGCTGGCTGACTGCCGATTTTGGTGGAACTGATTAAATTTGTTAATCGAGGCACCACTGTAGTACCAGGGACAGCATGGTCCCGGTAGAGTGAACCAGACTGCAAAATGATCATCCGCTGCTATCAAGACCATCTGTCTACATCCATTAGTATAGAACTGGGAGGATGTTAATTAGGGGATAAGAACTTGTTATCTGTATTGCAAAAAACCCAGAGTTGAATGTAATGAAATGCCATTTTCTGGGTAAGTCCAGGAGGCTCCCGGGAGCTATCCATGGCTGATATGGATACCCAAACTATTTTCCATCAGTTGAAGTGGGTGGAGTTCTAGGCCTACCGGGGACCACGAGTCAGAACCTGGCCCCCCTCACAGAGGCACGAGGAGCAATGGCCCATAGAAATGCACATGTGATTGTGGGGCATTCTATATCTGCCATCGATCGGGACAGGCACCCAGAAAGGTAAGCGCCACAGAACAAACTCCTATTCTGGTTAACAACGAAAATCATCAAACGAGTGGACATAACTCCCCAAAAGAAATATGAGCAAACAAGCGTGACGTTACACGAGCCGCGCTGCATGTCTGCGCAGCTCCTCCTTCCCCGGGAGGCGGAAGGGGGGAGTCCCAGACCCTCGCACCGACCGGAGGGAGGGAGGGTTGCCGGGGAGCCTCTGGGACTCACCCATAAAATGGCGTTTCATTACTTTCAACGTTGGTTTTCTGGGGGGAGCCCCTACGGCTCTCCGGAGCTACTTCACCATAGACAACGTAAGAAAAGGGGACTTACCCGGGAGGCGGTCGGTGCTCCACTCCTCAACTCGAATTCGAGACAACAGGCTGCAACCACGGACCCAAAGCAACACAGGCCTGACTGGGCCAAGGAACGTTCACGAGGTAGCGTGCAGCCAGGACCCTGTTCGAAAGCAAAAAAACCCAATGCCCAAATGTCAGCCCAAGACATATTGCCAAAGACGGCAGCAAGAGCAGCAAACTTATGAACAACATGGGCACAGGGATAGACTGCAGGCTGACTGGATTTAATTACCCTACAGACGACCTGAGAGACCCGAACCCATGAACAGGGAAGAAGGGAAACCGGATCAACCGAAAGCGCATCCCTGGACACAGAGGCCGTGGCGCGCAGATAACAGAGGGGGGCCGCAACCGGACAACACATGATGAACCCCAGCCTTGACGAACCAAGCATCAACAACCCAAGGACCCCTCCGGAAAGCAGCAGTCTCATTCTTCCCCAGAAAAGAGGGAGACGGTTGTAGATAAACATACCTATGACCACGACCAAAAGAGGTAAAACCTCTGCACCGGAGAAGAGCATGAAGCTCCGCCATTCAACCCCCAGAGGCCAATGCCAACAGAAAAAGAGCCTTAGCAAAACAATCCTGAACCGAAGGGGCCACAACAAAGCGAGGAGAAGAAAGATAGAAGAGCACTCTGCCCAAACACCAGGACGGCTCAGGCAGCGCATGAGTAGGCCAGAGGTGAAACAACGCACGAGACAGCTTGCAAAATGGTGCAGAAGTAATTTCGATACCGAAAGAAAGTTGCAGCAGCTCCGCCAGTGCCGCATGATACAAGGCGACAGAATTAGGCATAAGATGACGGTCCTGGAACAACCAAGAGAGAAAGGACAACACCACCCGATCCAAAAATGAAAAGCAATGACAAAGGGACAAAAAGAATCGGAAGGACAGCCTGGAAACTTCATGCTGACACCGAGAGGAAGCCTGCAGATGGGAAACTAGCAAAGAAGCCACCTGATCACCATAGTGATGGTGATAAACTCGAGTAAAAAATACCCAACACGAAGACTTGAGGAGAAGAGCGAACCAGTCTCGTACCGGAACGGGCCGATCTCCTGAAAAAGGCAGAGCCGTGGAAAAACCTCCAGGTTCGGACACCGGGCAAGCAGCACCTGAAATCACAGCCGAGCCGGCCACCATGGGGCTAGATGGACTACACGCCCCTGGTAAGTCTCCAAGCGAGCCAGGACCTGGAGCAACAGCTGAACCGAGGAGAAGAGGTACTGGAACCCCCTTCCTTACCTCAACCAGTCCTGCCGAAAGGCATCCATCCCGAGAGCCTCGCAGTCGGGGAAGGACACCACATATACCGGAAGACGCCTCGACCACGCTGACGCGAAGAGGTCCACTTCCCAGTCTGAACATCTGGCAGAGCCAACTGAATGAGTCGGCGTCGACCATCCATTCCATGGACAGGGGAACGAACCGGGACAGGCTGTCCGCCAGGACGTTGGACACCCTCCGGACGTAAATCGCCAGGAGAGCCAAACCTCAAGAACTCTGCAGATGAGTCACCCGAAGCGACCAACCCCAAAGAGCGAAGGATTGCATCAAACTCCCTTGGTTCAGGCAATGAACCACAGGGGAGCAGTCCGAATGGAGATGGATTGTCGATGTGTGGGCGACCTGAATCCTCAAAAGTGCAAACCACACCGCTGCGAATTCCTGCATGGTGCTGTGGGCCCAACGGAAGGACGGATCCCACCACCCCTGACTGGCCTGGTAAACAGTGGACACAAAGCCCCAGCCGAGAGATGATTCATCTGTGAACACATCGAGCAAGGGCTCGGGTAGGCGCCAAGGCACAGAACCCCGAAAAACCCAAAGAGAAAGCCAGTACAGGCGACACAAGGCCCCCGGAGGACGATTGCAAGAGAGGTGGAAGGGACGTGCCCAAAGGAACCACAACAGCCGATGAAGCCAAACCTGGCCCGGCGGGTAGACCAACATCGCAAAGTTCAGGCACCCACACAGACCCCCGAGCAACTTCCAGGTGACCCGGGAGTGCCCCAGAAACAAGCACAGGCGGGACCGCAGCCTAAGGAGAGACGCCGAAAGAAGAGACAAGGAAGCGGTCTGAGAGTCTCACACAAGACCCAGCCAGGACCAAACCTGGGAGGGAACCAGATGGGACTTCCTCCAGTTCACCAGGAACCCGAACCCGGCGAGCTGGGAAAACACCAAATCCCTGGCGAGCAGACACGCGGACCGACTGGGAGCCCAAACCAGTCAGTCGTCAAGGTAAGCTAACACTCGAACACTTAACAGATGCGGACGGGCCACCATGACCCGGGTAAGGCGTGTGAACATGTGAGGTGCCAGATTCAACCCGAACGGGAGACAACGAAAGTACTAACTCTGACGCCCCACAACAAAACCAAGCCAGTCCCGAAACCCCAGATGAATAGGGACGGGCCAATACGCATCCTTAAGGTCCAGTGACACCATCCAAGACCCCTGCTTCAACAGAAGCTGGACCTGGGACAGAGTGGTCATCCAAAATGAGGGGCAAGAAACCCACGGGTTCAGACGGGACAAGTTTAGAATGAACCTCAGGTCCACAGTCCCATTTCAAAACTGGAAATAGGCGGGAAACCTACCTGAGAGATATCGTCGTTTCGACCACGCCCAAGCGCACCCACTCCAAGACGATCTGACAGAGTGCAAAAGAGGAAGCCTACCCCATCAGCCCTGAACCACCCAAAGGAGGAGCTACCCAATGCCACTGCAGGCCAAGAGAAACGACCCAAAAAGCCCACAAATCGTGAGAACAAGCGTGAGTGAAAAGAGCAAGCCTCCCCCCATCGCCCTGTCAATGGGGCGAACCGCAAAGGGGCCGCTGTCTCTTACGAGAACTCGACCTGTGCGCAGAGCAAACACCGCGTCGGCCAGGAGCAGTCAGGACCGCAGGCGGCATCGGCACTGAACCCGACACCTGTGGCTGACCCCGACGAACGGAACTGCGAGCCCTGGCACGACCTCGCCAGGAAGGAACCCTTCGGTTCCCTGGGAGCACCAACAATTCAGACATTGGGCGGCAAGTGGAAGAAGCCGCCTGAATATAATGCTCAACCGCAGAGGCCACAAAATGCAGAGGACAAAAAGGGGAAGACAACCTAAGAACCAGGGCCCAAGCGGATTCAAAGGAGGAGGCGAGAACAGCCAGTTGACACGTGAAACGTAAAGCAAAAAACCGCAGCAACGCCTCTCGCAGGATCGGCACAAGCAGCTTAAAAAAAACAGACGACACACGAGCAGCCGAGACTAAGGCACCAGACCAAGGAATGGCCCCAAGCGCCTCTACATCCTCCGCAAGCCAATCCGAGGACAGTTCCAGGAGGGAAAAGAACCACAGGACCAAAGTCAAAAACCCACGAGCTCGCAAGTCCTCAGCCACAAGTGCAGCTGACAGGGAAGGAACCTGCACACGAGGTTCCTTCCCTCCTGGAAGGAAGGCAGGAGCGATAAGGCACTCATTATGATGTGCAAAATCATCCCCCCCCCAGGTACACCTGAACCACCGTCAACACTTCGTGCCACTCAAACGCGTGGGTCCGACAAAACGAGTCCCAAGCATCCAACAAGAACAAGGGGTAGTCTGCAGGCCAGGATGACCCCGGAACCTCATAACGCACCCAGCAAGGACACA